AAACTTTTGATACCATCTTTTACATGTAGCATGACTTACAGCGTTTTCTCCATATGCAGCACAAATCATTGCAGTGGCTTCAGCAGCATTTTTCTTCAGACGAAACGTGAAGTGGATGGAAAATCGAATATGCTCTTTTGTTATTGCCATCGTGAACGACGTGAACACTACTGATTTTTGAGGTTATGTGCATCAAACGCCAAACCGTATGGCATTGAAGGCCAAATGTTAACGCTTTAAAACCGCAAAAGGGCGGGAAGATATATAAAATTTAAATTGTTATTTCGGTTGTATGAAATCTAAAGCTCAGAACTTTTTTGTACACCTAATAAACTAAAATATATCTTTTTGTATTGCGGAAAAGACAACATGAAAAAGATATCTTTCGTAAAATATTGTTTATTTCTTTTATGTAACATTATCTTATTATATTTTGAGGTCTAGCAGCGCGCCAAGTTTTTTTACATAAAAAATTTTATTTTCATAAAATTTTCTCATTTTGTGATGCTTCGTCTTTAATTTTTTTTAGATTAAATCTTGTATTCCATTGCAAATATAAAAGACTCTTGAATAGAAAGATAAAGGTACGTATCATTTTGTCTCGTTAATTAAATGTTATATGTTGCAATAAAATATATGTTCTTTTCTCAATTTACAAAATACAATAGTATATGTTATATGTTGCAAGAAATTATATATTCGTTTTGCAATTGGCGTAATTTAAAGATTTGATTTAATTTCTTTTTTAATACATGCATACGTACTACTGAGGGGTAATTTATAATAAAAAATTAACAACATTACCACTTGAACTATATTATTTATGTAACGGTTTTTTTTTTAGTTTATGTAAAGTACAGTTTTTTATGGAAGGTACATGCACACTTGGCGCCTTTTTTTTACCTTTTTTTAAAAAGTACTAATAACAGCGAGTGCTCATTCAACTGTTGAGTCCGCTGAATGACGCATTCTTTGTTCCGCAATCATTTTCCGCACCGTGTGATTTCACCCTGACACTAAAGTTGAGATTAACACTCAACATCCAAGTCATCAATAACACTCAAGTTGAGAGTTATACTCAGTTTGAGCGTCCAAAACAATCATTAATTGAGTATATTACCTTGAGTGTATTTTTTCAGTGTTTTTTAAAGTGTAAACACTCAAATTTTAAGAGTTTTTTTCCGTAAGGGTATGCATCATTATTATATATTATAAAAATATTTAACTGAATCTAACCGAACTATACATATGTACTTTGTGTGTATAAGAATATTATAGCATATATTATAATTCTAGAATTAATTCTCGTTTTTATTAGGTTGAATATTCGGCAGCAAGTGATGCTTATACACACGCACCAGAACACTTTAAAGATTTTTACATACAACGACGAAGATGGATTCCCTCGACTGTCGCAAATATTTTCGACTTGTTGATTACTGCTAAACAGACGAGAAAGGTGAATAACGATATCTCGTGGCTGTACATTGCTTACCAGTGGATTCTAATGGGTACGTATATAATAACAATACTTTAATAACCTATTAAATCGTGAAGTATTATTATAGGGAGTACAATCCTAGGACCAGGTACGATATTTTTGATGCTGGTTGGCGCGTTCGTTGCCGCGTTTCATATCGACAATTGGACCAGTTTCTGGTACAATCTAATCCCAATTGGCGTGTTTGTCGGAGTTTGTTTTATTTGCAAGGAACGCATGCAGGTATAGAACTTGAATAGTATCTTTAAGAAAGTAATAGAAATTTCGAGGATATTTGGAAAAAGAGAGAGGGAGTGAAGCGGGAAGTAGGGAGGGGGGAAAGAGAGAGAGGGGGAGAGAGAGAGAGAGAGAGTTGTTTTATAAAAAAAATATATAGTTGCATATTACAAATTACATTTTGTTTTTAAAGCAACTATGTCTTTTCATTATACCAATGGATTAGTCTCATAATTCTGTACATAAAAGTGTTAATGTACAGTTATTAAAATGTAATCTTAAAAAATTAATCCAGATGCACATACACTGCCGGAGTCTCCATATTTGAAATAGCTCCTATCTTTAATCCTTTACAACATGGCTAAAAGTAACGTATTGAAGTAAAAAAAAATACATTTTAGGGAGGATGAACATATGGGGAAGAATACACCCAGACAGCCATCTACGTTCTGACAATGTTAGAATGATATCGCAAACGTATGTTGAATATGTCGTCAAGATATTCGAGACGCGTCTGTGATGTATAGAATATTTCTTCAGAATCTATTATGTCCGCGATTTCTCATTCCGTAGACTTCGCAGGGAGCTCCTAGTGATAAACCGTAGTTATTCTGAGATGTATGAGTATGTCTTCAATACGTCTCCATGTGGTGATCCCGATTGACCATGGCTCGATTGGACACCACCAATCACAGCGACCGGTGCTTAGGAGCTTTGTAGTCTCAAGCGCTGTGAGTGGCACGTGTCCAATTGAGTCGTGTCCAACTGGGTGCCACCCGTCTCCAGTACGTCTCTATAGTATCCGCGCTATCATAGCGATGCTCTAGTATGTCATGTATGCATGCACATACATACACACATACATACACATACATATAAAATTTCGCGCACACGCTTGCATGCTGAACGAATTAAGTATTTGCACAGTGCAGTTCCCTTACGGAAAAAACTCTTAAAATTTGAGTGTTTATACTTTAAAAAACACTTAAAAAATACACTCAAGGTAACACTCAATTAATGATTATTTTGGACGCTCAACCTGAGTATAACTCTCAACTTGAGTGTTATTGATGACTTGAATGTTGAGTGTTAATCTCAACATGATAGTTAACTTGAGTGTCAGGGTGAAATCACACGGTGCGGAAAATGATTGCGGGACAAAGAATGCGTCATTCAGCGGACTCAACAGTTGAGTGAGCACTCGCTGTTATTGGTATATTCTTCTAGATCTAAAATTATGATTGGATGAGCTAAAAGAATACACCAATAATAGCGAGCATGGCACTCGCACTCAACTGTTGAGTCCGCTGAATGCGCCCATTGAAACAACCAATTAGCGCTATTCGCAATAACGCAGAATAAAGCTGATTGGTTGCTTTTGTGACATATTTTCTTTTCCGCACCGTGTGATTTCACCCTTAGACCCTACAATGGAGGAAGTATTATTATAGGAATAGAAATAAATATTAAAATTTCAAAACAAATAAAAATTTCAAAACAAATTAAAATTTCAGAACAAATATTAAATTGTAAACGCCATTATTTTTAAGTACTCAAATATTTGCGGGCATCTACAGTCAATATTTTGGCATTTATCTTAATCATGGAAATTAAAACTCAAATAACTGTTAAGTTTATATAATCAATTTTGAAGACACTCAAAGGTTTAGGGTTTACGCTCATTTATTGCGTGTCATACCCAAGTGTTGAAGGTAACCTTTAGATGTTTAGTGTGTAAACTCAAACTTGAGTATGAACGTTGTGAACGCTCAATCTTTGAGTGTGTATACTCAATGTTTGAGTGTAAACACTCAAATTTTAAGTGTAAATACACAAATTTCAGAGTAAACTCCCAAAATTTAGGGTTTACACTCAAATTTGAGTATGAACACTGAAATTTTCAGAGTTTTTTCCGTATTGCTACTTTAAAATAGTAAATATTTTCAAAGAATCAAAATTCTTTAAAAATACTTCTTATTTTATAGTAACAACTGCATTGTGCAAATACTTTGTAACCGTACTCGCGAGCAACGGCACAACTTCGTCGCGTGTTCTCGGTACTCAAAGTACGCAAAAGTATCTTCTCTCCCTCGGTAGCAGAATTTTGCGACAGCCAGGCGGTTCTTCGGCCAGAATTGTAATTCTTATTACTAAGT